TAAATTTTAACAAGGCACTCAGGGTCATTGAAGAGTGAGGGATCTTTATCGTGCCAGCGCCTGCCGTGGCACGGGGCCTCGGTTTATAAGGTCTCATCCGAAAGACCCACAACTTTTACTTCAAAGTGCTGAGAAATTGAGGAAGGAACAGTTGCTACCAATTTTTTTTATCGACTTATACATTTAGGTCAGTGCAGCCGGAGTTTGAACTCACGACCTTCCGATTACGTAGCGAGTGCTCTAATAGCTCATGTTTGAATAAACAGGGTAAACAACATTAATTGAGCCCTTTCAGATTGAAGAGTGCACTATTACAACCATAATTGTTCTACAATAGACAATTAAGATTTCTTCATTCCATCATCTCTTCTTAAAGTGTGAATAGTTTTGACCTTGACGTATACCCAGTATATTTTTTGTGATACTTAAAAAGACGTACAATGTGCACTCACTTAGAATACTTATCCGCTTCGCTCCTCAGCAATATACATATGATAATTATACTTTAAAGGACTTTTGACGTTGTCAGATGTCATTTCATTTTGCGCTTAGTATTTTTTAAAAATGAAAAAAGTGAAGATAACGAACAGTGATTGATCTAAAAATAAAACCTGACAAACAATATAAATCTTTGAACAGGGTATAAAACGTAAGCCCCAGAAATTCCATAGTTGGAATCAGGTGCCTAAGAAGAGTAAGCATCCAGTGTCGACCCGTCAAACCCGCCGTGAGCCATAAAAATTGACCAGGTAGACAAAATATAGTCAAATTTAATATAAAGCAAGGCTTAACAATTGATAACAAGGTCCTTCTAACGAGCATAGAATTTACAAAATGCTGACTTTAAACGAGGTTGTTCAATCTATGTAGCCTCAACCTATATCTGTCAGTAGTCTGTCTCGGTTTAAAAACTGATTGCACTCAGAGTATGCTCTCGAATATATCGAATAAGTTGAGAGACAGAAACACCATATGCAGGTGATAGAGGAAAATTACTACATAAATAAAAAGTTGACGATGGAAAGCTGAATTCATCTCGTTTGTCATACAATTTAGACGTTAGTTAGCCCTTGTTGTCTATAGTCAGTTAAAACTGTCGTCAACGTCCTCTAGAGCGATATAAGGATTTATCTCCCTTACTCCTGAGCAACCAAGCACACACAGATCACTCTTTAACAAGAATTTCCTCATAACTTTGAAGCAAAATTTCATCATTAATACTCCAACAACCAATTTTGTATCTAAGGAGGTCGAGTGCATGCATCGTTCTTCGCAACAATCTCTGAAGAGGGTCTCAGGTCCCTGTGCAATTACATTGTTCTCAGTATATATAGCAAATTTGCATGTTATCCTCCATTGATTGACGTTTTTATAATTATATTGCTCAATGTGATTCTCAATATGATTGATAATAAAATCCGTATCTTTTCAATATCTTTATAATTATCAGGTAAAACCAGGTACTAGTCGACAAACTGCTATGTGCCTATTTGTCTAAAAGCCGTATTGTATTCAAGGCCAGCAAAAAACTTTAAAAATTTTACAACAGAGGGATTATTTATTAATTTATTCGTTTCTAGTGGCCAAATAAAAATATTATTTCAGAAAAGAAGGTATTAGACCGATTACAAATTAACAAATATGTTAGCCATCAGGCCGTGGTGCAGTTTGAATTAGAATGATTAAACATTTTAAACAAATAATCCATTAGCTCACAGCAAAATCATTCATTATATCTCTTAAATTCATCATATTAAAGCAAGGTATTGCAGATCATGTATTTAACAACAGACAAATATCATAACATCTGTTGTTCGCAAATTATAAGGAAAATATTGTTAAGCACCTATTTAATTATGCAATTGAAAATGATATATTATAGAAGATTCCGTCTGGATTCCAGGCAGGCAACTATGTAAAATATTCTTTATGTACTTCTACTTTGTGTCTTTCACCGAAAAGGTTGGTATTAATTTGGTTCCGTCTGTCCATCCGTCCGTCTAGCTTTCTGTTCGTATTTCTGCCTGTGTGTAACACTTTCGTCTCCGGACGATATCTAATGAAGTCTTTGAGCTTTTGCAATGAAATTTTATATCACAACTCTCTATGACCTAAAGAAGACCCCTATGGATTTTGAGGTCAAAAGAATAAATTCAATTTGTCTGTGTGTAGCACTTTCGTTATCTCGAGAAGCCCTTAAGCTTTTGGAAAAAATAAATTTATATCAGAACTCCCTATTGTCTAAAGAACACCCCTATTGATTTGAGGTCAAAAGGTCAAAGGTCAACTTCATACATCCTGTCTATGTGGAATATAAAGATAACGAACAGTATTCAAGCTCAATGTCCTTTAAACAATACAGATCGGGAGTAGAGCAAACATGGACCTACAAAACACAGGTGGGATCAGGTGCCATGGAAGAGTGAGCATCCCCTGCCGACCGGTCACACTTGCCTTACCGTGTGCTCCTTGTCATGATCGGTAAATAAGGGAAAATCCGTCGACAATTCAATGAGTAAATAATGGCCTAACAATTAGTATGAAAAACCACTGTCAGGATATGTATTAATGGTAGATTGTATTTTCTGACAATGTCATTGTATCGACCATAGAACTTGCCAAATGATGACTTTAAAGGAGACTGTTGATATTCTTGTTTCATCAACTTTTGTCAATAACTTACCTCGTTTTAGAAATTGTTCATACGTAGAGCATGCCCTTGCGTATCGAATCAACTGAGAGATATACACCCTATATGCAGGGTATATTGCTACATAAGTAAGGGAAGTTGACGATTGAAAAGTTAGTCATCACGTTTATCATAAAGCTTGGTTGTTAGATTACCATTAACGTCTTTTTCTAGTAAAATATCTAAATACAGATGTGTCAGACTCTGTGGTATCTTTTATTTCAATCTCACTAGTACTGGGGTATATCTTGTCGACATATGAATGGAAATAACTATTGTTAATTGATAATACGTCGTCGATATATCTAAATGTCGAGTTGAGGCCACAGCAAGAGATTTATTTTTCTCATGTATAAGATTTTGAAAAAAATTCTGATTCATATGAACAGATCTGCTTACAACGGGCGCAATTGTTACCCATGGAAAGACGTTTACTCAGCGTTTGAACTGACAGAAATGAAATGTTATGGGGCACCATTTTGCAGATAAAGTGGCGTTAAAGCTTATGCATAATTTCAAAAAATTGAATGGAATGCAATAAAGAATTTCAAAAATATGAAAAAAATCCATTCCAGAAAACACATCTAAAGAATTGGATCATTGATCTTATATAATTTTACAGACAGAATATACAAACAAACATTTATCAAAAAATATGAAAATAATAACTTATGTCATGTTAATAGACGTTAAATGAAAAGGTTAACCGCATATATTTTAATATTTCGTTTAAATTTCACAATAACTTGACTTAAAGTGACAACAAATTGTATAGCGTAATAAGGAATGATTGAAGAAAGGAGGTACTTTGAACATCATAAAAAGTTGAAAATTTATTAATATTGTTGAAATTTATTATTCGTATCATGGTCAAAATAAAAATAAAAATACCAATCCAGGCATAAAATTTTTGTTTGTATCATCTGTCATAAGAACCAGCATAATAAGGACAACAAAAGAAAAATGATATAAATAGTCTAGAATTCTCATCATTCAGATTTTAATGATATTAGATAAAAATGGGTAAAAATAAAAATATTGAAAAAAAATATTTACATGTAAGAAGTTTAAAGTTCAAAGTTCAAACTCTAATTGTTTATTTATTTTTAGCAAAACTTTTCTATTTGTATTATATTTCATTATCCAAAGAGTTATATTTTGTTAATGAAGTGTTATAAATTATATATATATATATATATATATATATATATATATATATATATATATATATATATATATATATATATATATATATATATATATATATATATATATATATATATAATCAATTCCAGATTTTTGCCAGACTTAAAAACCATGTAACATGTATAGCATTCAATGTTCATGACAAAAAAAAAAGAAAAGAAAAGAAGAAAACAAAAACAAAAAACAAAACGAAACAAAACATAAAAGGGTAAATTCATGTTTATTTAAAAATACTTAATCTTGTTTAAGGAATAACTTTGTAACATTGGTTTATGACATTTGGGATATCAAAATTGCTGTAGAAAAGTTAGCGAAACAATATTATTCTTTTTTTCAATTGCACATGTAAGTGGCTTTTTGAAGCAATATTTTTTTTTCCTTGATATTTACCCTGAATCCGTCCTTTTATCGTAGAATGACTTTTCTAACTTTTGCCTAATCTCTCCTATACTCGGAATGAAAAAAATACTTACTACCTTACTTCTTAACTTTCTTATTTTCACTTAGTAATATAATTTCAACATGGGTGTTGTTTATTGGTAGAAAAAAAAATCATAATAAACAGATCTAGAAAATTTAATGTTTTGTAGTTGGATATGGCATTTATTTTAGCTTGTCAGCAAAAACAATTCATCATTAAGTCAAATGTTGGCTGACGTTTTTAATACACATTGTTAAGCCATTAGTTTCATAGTGAATTGTTTACGAACTTTTTCGTTCGTCCGATCATAACAAGGAGAACACAGTGGGTGTGACCGGTCGATAGGGGATGCTTACTTCACCATGGCATCTGACCTTCCTCTAATGCTTGAGGTCCGTGTTTGCTCTGCTCCAAACTTGTATCGTTTCAATGGTCTTTTAACTGATAGCTTGATTTACTGTTCGTTATCTTCATATTTCGATTTCACAGGATTTCACTCGTGAGACAGAATTTGTTGATATTTTCACTCGTGCTTCGCACTCCTGAATCATTTCCTACTTGTGAAATAAATTTTATATTAGTATTGAACTATAAAACATTGAATATCTTCTATATAACTTCGTAACTAATTAAATACAACGAAATTTAATATAAAAACGTATTTATTCTGAAGATATTATTTGTCAAACTATAACATTGAACGGATGATCACCCTAAATAAAAAAAGGTTTTGAATATTATTTGAACCAAGAATACAGATAGACATATTTTAAAAAAAACGCATAATTTTGTCTATATTTTAAATCATAATAGATAGAGAGCACATTCTATCCAGGTTTACATTCGGATGACCCTGTCACTCCCGGGTAGGCTGACACCACACTCTATCCATTTTTCGAGAAATCTTGGGGTCGATGTTGGTGTACTTCCTATTTTTCCGAACGAGAATTGTTGTCCCCTTCTGTGTCGATAGAGACCTTTAAAAGACGATTTGGAAATGCCATAATGATATCAGTTCATTTTTGTTCCTTGTAAAATAAAAGCACTTCTTTTAGGTGACATGAAAAAAACTAAACACATTCCAAATATTTGAATGAAGGCGTTCAAGGCGAGGACAATATGCCCTGAAACAAGATATTTCTCAATTCTTAAAGTTCATTGAAAAATTACATTTTTCAAAAATGCTGATGCCAGTGTCATCTTTAACACATTAGATTTTCTAATTGATAAATAATTTATTTTTCATTTTTTATGGTATTTGAAAAGAAAAAAAGAGCCTAGAATCCTAATATATGACTCGAACTCTCTCCATAGCTGCAGGTAAGGCGTAATGTTAAACACTTTAACTACTACAATATGAAGTCTTCTTATCTGTGTCAGTTTGGTTTAAATGAAGCATATAATTTTTCAGAAATGTTCCATTTTCATAAAGAATGGGTTAAGATTCATTTTTTTTGGAACATAAATAACATTTTTTTCGTCATTTAAAAATTAATTTTGAATCAGGACTATAACCAATCATATGTAAAAATATACTAAGCGTACTTGGCGAGGACGCCCCCATTCAAATTTTTCACAGTGATATTGCGAAAGAATACATTGACAAAACACCAGAGATTCTCAGTCAGAGGTACAAGTATATTGATTAATACATGTAAATTAAGAAATTGTATCAAAATTGTTTATTATACCTCTATTAAGAATACTCCAATTTGATTGGCTTGTATAGAAGGCTTTTAAACTCAATAATGACCCCAAAAAGTACCGTTTACAGCAATAATGACCTAGGAATCATTGCACGTGGGGTATAATGACCCGATCATTATAAATAATGACCGCTAAAAATGACCTGTTAATCTAAATTCCATTCAAATTTAAAAATTATTGCATACGGTAATGACTGTTCATTACAAAAAATGCCGTTTTAAAATATGTATAGTCTTTTTATGATACAGAATAGGATTGCCCTTTAGACAGGTTGGGCACAGTTTTCAGTAAAAAGGAATTGTTCCTCTTTTCAGCAATAGCAAGCGCAGCGAGCAGCGCGAAGCGCCGCTGGCGAAGCGAGCTCAATAGAATAACGTGTAAGAACAGAGAAAATTCGGAATGAAATCTGTTCATACGTCAGGCAAATTTTCTGGTGCAGCATTCCCAGAATTCCTTCGCTACCAGGGTTCCATGCGAAATTCTTACTAAACATACAAAAGACCAAGGATAATTATTCATTACCGAGAAATACGTTTACTTTTCTTTCTTTGCAGAGAGCTTAAAAGAAACAAAAAATAATTACATCTACTCTACAACGTATTTCTATGATTGCACAAGATCTTTAGTCTCGTTCAACCAGACGCTCGGCTGTCTCCGTAATTTCCGATGTCATGTGACGTCACAGTCTAGACTGTGTCTCGTGCAGTTTGACGTTTGAAGAGGCGGATCAACGTTACAAGTGTAATTAAGCTGCTATAGCTTTTTGACGGTACAACTGCGCTCGCCCCAAAGGTCACACCGTAAAACATATTAAAAAAAAATTACTGTATACGGGAATTTTCATTCGTTTACCCTCTTTTCTCGTGTTTGCTTTGAATAAAAGATTAAGTGCAAGAATATTTTCACATCCTGTAAATATTCATAGTCTATTAAGTGTATAAATATGCTAAAAACTACAACATTTATCGCTGCAAAAAGCTGAAAAAGAGTGATGAAATATTTCTACGATATAGATTTCTTACCGAAGCTTATCTGTGTTAAAATTGTGAGATTGAATACGTTCAGCAAATGCTAACTCGTACATGAAATTATTCGTTCTAATTAAATTTTATAATCATATCTTTCAAAGACATCGTAAAAATAATTCTTAATACCACTGCTTCTTTTACAGAGGAAAATAATTAGATGAAATATTAAGTTTTAAAAGATAGTCATTCAAAGATGGTTTGAGAATGAATGCCCTTGTAAGATTCCATACTTTTTGTATCATTTATCAACAGGGAAAATTTAAGTAGAAGTTGTGGATTACTGCTGCACGTGAGTTTAAATTCCTATGCATGTTCGAAAGATGTCACTTAAACGAAAACAAAGCTATGAAATTTTCCGTTTTTGAACTAATAATAATATAATTATAAGGAAAATATTCACATCCGTTGGAAGAATACTCATGATGTCGTACGATTAAATTCATCTTACTCCCGTCAGCAGCACTAAAGGACCGAAATTTTTTGTCAGCGAGGTTAGTTAAATAAAGTTTAAACACATCATATCGTATTTTTCGTTCACTTTTTATTTAATACACGGATTTGGGGCATTAGTTTAAAAATTACAAAAATTCACGTATACAGTAATGATTTTTATTACTGAAATGAGGAACAAATCCCTTTTAGCGTAACAGTTATTGAGAAAAGGAACTGTGCCCAACCTGTTCGATGCGTCATAAAATTTATCGTTTTCATCGAAAATTTCGTTACAATGTCAAATTCAACGAATGCAGACTTGGCTCTTTTGTACAGTAAAAGTCTGCATCAGATTGTCATTGTACTCGGTATTTGTGAATTTATAAAAATGCATGTTACTGACAATCACAGACTGTTTTAATAAATCGGCGGTGCAAAAACTAACAAGACTTGCGGACGAAAAGTAAACAACTTCACTAGCGAATCCCGATCCCGCTGAAACACTGATAATAACAGTCCGTAGGTCTAATACACAATTGATTATTTTAGTAATTAAGCCTACAAAAATTGTCTTAACTTATATCGGTATAATAAAACAATTGATTTCCCCTCATGAGTTCAACATGGTGAAATCAGGACCCTCGACCTGGCCCACTCGCTGACCTGACCTGATCTCGGCCGCTACGCGGCCTCGGTCAGGTCAGGTCATCGGTCAGGTCTCGGGTCCTTATTTCACCATGTTGACCTCGTAAGGGGTAATTAATTGTATAATATTATCAGCCTGATAGAATTAAATATTGGTACTCACTAATTTATTCAAAAGACAATATATTGACAAGTGATTTTAAGATATTTTTTGTTTCAATAATATTATAAAGTTGAAAAATGGCATGCACCATAAACGAAATTTATTTTAAAAATATACAGAAATTTCAATTAGATAATTCCATAAATAACACTTTTCTCTCTGATGAACGAAGCTGTCGGTGCAACAACACCGACGACGTCAAAATGTTGGTCGTGGCCTTTGTGAATTTGTTCAGGAATCGTGCGTCTTTAAAAATTCATTCAAAGCATAAATTCGATACTTCGTTTGATTTTCTTTTACTTTACGAGTTATTCATTTCACACATACTATAGTTCTAAATGTATAGGACATGAAACTTATAGTATTTTTGTCGAAATGACAAAAATATAATTTCCCAGCATTGTGCAAAAAATGAATGATTTTGGTCAGGTAGTTTATGAAATATTTGAAAAGTTGACGTTTTTCTGGGACACATCTCGTATATTAAGAATTATTTTTCTTGAAATATTTTTTTTCTTAAAATGTGGGGATAGAAATTGAAGAGTTAAACGAAAGACAACGGCAGCTTTAGGGAGATGGGCTACAAAGTTCACCTGCGTAATTTTGAATCCTCGAATTTAGACCGACGCTATCCCCACGGCCCGTTATTTGAAAATTAAAAACTTGAATCCACATAACTTGAGATTATTTGCATATCAAAATATGATTTAGTGTGGTCCTGCTACTTTGGAAGATATTTGTTTAATTACCTAAATATTCCAATACAAAACTTTGATGTCTCTTTTTACCCACAGTTGCTTCGAAGAAACTTGAATCAGCGATTTCGAAGCTTGCGTACTGGTTCGGGGATGATTTGAACAATTATTAATGCACACGTTTTAAGGAAGCTCTCTCATAAGTTTTTTGCTTATTTTGGCCCAGTGGTTCTTGATCGAGAAGGAGACTTTTTTAACGTTTCAACCAAATTTTCACAATATCTTTATCTTTCCTTGAAAGAGACTGTGAGTAAAACAAAGTAAAAAAAATAAAATTCATGCATATATTTTGGGATAACAAAGCCTCTGAAATGATACCCTAAATATACTCTAAAATTACGATATACATGTAAGTGCTTAACCTACAGGCTAAATTTAAGGGTCATTAGGAATTATGACAGCCTCAAAGAAGCTACTAGTAATACGTTCGGTTTCCCATTAGAAGGTCAGTGACAAAGACGGTCCCTCGCCCCTCCCATTCGCCTTAGGAGTTCGCATAAAATTTTGCATTGCTGTGCCCCTAAATCATAGATTTGAGTGAAAACACGGGTCAATCTTTACAATTGTACAAAGATTTTTTTAAAAAACTGAAAAAAAATTAAATTAAGCAGAGCACAGTTTTTTGAGATTAAAACATTATCCTGGTTGACGCTTACTTTCATTTCTACTTTTAGAAACAGTTAAATCTAAATAAAACAAAGAAGATGGGTGTGTTTAGCGTTTAACTTTCAGGAACCGTGTATACGAATCATTGAATACTAGTACTTCATATACCTATACAAGTCGAATCTTGGCTGACGTTTTTCATACTAAATGTGAAGCCATTTTTAAAACACTGAATTGTCTACGGATTTTTCCGTTTGCCCGATCATGACAATCAGCAGCGGCGGGTGTGACCGGTTGACAGGGGATGCCTACACCTCCATGGCACCTGATCCCACATCTGATGTTTTTAGAGGTCCATGTTTGCTCTGCTTCAAAGTTGTATTGTTTCACTGGACTTTGATATTGATTATTGTTCGCTATCTTCATATTTTAAGCAGAGTTTTGGTCGGCTGACCACAGCAGGACACACTTTATAGAATAAAGTCATGATCATGCACAAAGAAAAATATTAACTTACAATGAAAAACCTTCTCATTTTAGTCTTACTGCTTATCCTTACAGTTACGATATCATGGTATCATTATCTATAATTAGGCCATTCCAAGTTTTTTATGTTTAGCGGTCGCGTGCGCCTTGGTTTT